AGCAGAGACAGGACACCTGACCCAAACTGGCCAAAGGGGTATTCCACACCACAGCACGTCATGCCCAGTATAGAAACTGGGCGGGGGGAGTCACCTGGAAGGCCCAGATCACTGCTCGACTCAGGCTGGGTACTGTTCATCGGGTGGTGAGCGGTTGCGTCCTCTCCTCTTGTTATTTCCCTTATCATTATTATTATTGGTGGTAGCAGCAGTGGTTTGTATTATACCTTAGTTACTGAACTGCTGTTATCTCAACCCTCAGGAGTTACTTTCCTCCGATTCTCCTCCCCATTCCTCCAGAAGCAGGGGGAGGAAGAAGGCAGAGAGTGAGTGAGCAGCTGCACGGTTCCGGTTCTGAGTTACTAGCTGGGCTTAAACCACGACATCATTCCAAACACACTAACTGGAATTCTTCACCTCAAAATGAGTCAAAGTCTGATGCGAAACGGAAGTGACAAAACCAGTAGCCCTAGTAGCAATGACATGGCTCATCTACTATCATCTGGCCAGTCACCAAGACACTGTTCTAGTAGTAGACAAATGTGTGCAGTCATTTCCCTGACATCACAGCAAAGCCTGAAATTTTTTCCAGTAGTAGCTGAATGACTGCTGTAGGCATTAGGTCAACTCCCTTCAGGACAAGTTTCTGCCTTCTCAAAGACTTAAAATTGTTTGACTTTTTAATCCAAAACCAGCATTTCTTCTAGTCATAGTGTTTTGTTTCTTTGCTTACTACAAACAATGGTCCCGAAGAAAAATATTAATTAATCTTACAGGTTTACTTGCAGCCTTCATTTTGTCTTGCTACACTTTCTCTATACCTGCACACGCAGCTTTGAGCAACTGAGTTTGGTTTCTGTGCTTGGTACTGGATCATATACCCCAAATTAATTTCTGTATCTTACATTGCACCATATATTAACACTCTAGTGTTAAAAAGTCCTTTCTTCCCCTCAGTCTCTGGAGATTGAACTACTGTGAAGAACAAATATATATAAAGTGTTCTAAAATAACAAGCTTTTTTAAAGAAGTCTCCAATATTGTGAACTTGTGTTACTTTAAAAAGTTTTTACTCTTACCTTTGGGGGAATGGAACTAAACAAAACAGTCTTGAGTCATGAGGGTGTGAGCTAAATGCCATTTTGACTTACTGGAGGTAAGTTACTAGCAAAAGACAGTGGATTAATTTATATGAAGACCTTAAAATAGGACAAGATAGCTTTATAAAAATACATATTTAATCACAACTTCTGAGAAACTTTGTAGAGACCATGAATACAAGTAAATCCAATTAGGTGATATCTGTGGTCCTTTCTGTCATCAGACATGGAAAAATTCGTAATTACATGCAAAAGCAATTCATCTCCTTCATGGAGTAAATTGTTGAAATATAAAAGGCAACTGTCCAACACAGACTGGACAGGTGTTGAGCCATATGAGCCATACTCTCCTGGTGCCTAAATGCAAACTAACATGATGGGACATTACTTGTAAGGGAGGAAGGGGGGCAAAAGAGTGCGAATTGGGTGGAGGGGGGCAAACAGAGTGTAAGACTGCACAGAAAATCAGGACAGACAGAAAAGACCTTACAAAGAAACTCAAAAAAAGCCACCAAAAACTAAACCAAAACCCACAAAGAAGTTAAGAAATTTGTCAGACACAATGCTGTCTAGAAAGACCTAAACAGAAAGCAAAGAAACTGTCTCTTATTGCTTTTTTCCTACGGTGTTCTGTGAAGAAGAAACTGTCTGGTCTGTCTTTATAGACAGAAATAAATCCGACATCCACACATCCCAACTTCTCTTTCTGACAAAAATAATCTGAAAAACCTTATCAAAAATGAATTAATAGCTCCATGTCTGAGAAGTTGCAACACCAGTGTTAAAAGCAGGATTGAAAGAGAGAAATCATTAGCTTCTGTTCCTTTTTAGCCAAGCTGAAAATAACTACTTGGAAAACATCTGAGAATTTTTCAAGAACTAATGTGGCAAGAACTGTTTCTGGGAAGTGCTAAATAATGGTTTGCAGGTAAAAAGAAAATCTTTGTTAGGACAGTAATTAATTACAAAGCATCTAGGCAGACTGAGAAACTAGTGCAACACCTTTTGTCCAGTATGTCAAAAAAAGTTAATGATATCATGAAGTAATAAAGTCAATCTTGAAAAACACTAGCAGGGAGAAGCTGTAAAAAGGACAAACAAAGCTGAAAAGTAATTTCTAAAGACTTTCAAAATTAAAGCTCATTACCTTCATCAGGCTAGCTGGAAAACTTTAACAATTGTTTCCTATCCAGTTTTACCTGCAGTAGTCTAAAAGGGAGAATGATTTCCTGAACTTACACCATGCAAAACTCTACTGAATTTGTAGGGAGGCACATTTGGCTCAGCTCAATGCCATCATCTAAAATAACAGTCAGGGAATCAAATAGGAAGAAGCAATTCCAGTGAGCAATGTTAATAGCCTCCCTGTGATGTTGTTACTGAAATTCCCCAAAGAGAAGAGGCAGTTACGCCTTTAACATCTGGTATGAAGCCAGGGACCCAGCTAAGGGCTGGAAGAGGTGGTTAAGGAACAATTCCATCAGCAGTGGCAGTAGAAGACTTGAACTGCAGGTCAAATATCAGTAATCTAGAATAAATTAGCAATGAACAATGTCGATGTATCTGAATGATGATGAGACAAGGCCAAAAACACTTAAGAGTTTGTAAAATTGGTCACAGGTCTCCAATTGACTTTCATGTTGGCTAGATCTAAAAGTACAAACTCCATGAGAAACAACATTGAATACTCAGCAATATGGATTTGGTTCTCATTTACTGTGGTATGCCATAAGAGATGCTATATAAAGGTCAAGGGCAAACTCCCCCTCTAGCTATGTGCATAACAACATTTGGCATGGGATGCTGTCATGAAAAATGTTGGAATTTTTGACCAAAGATGCTATCTTCTGTTGTTTTTTTTTTATTGTGTGTGTTCACAGAAAAGCATTTTCTTGTAAATCGTTAGGATTATGTCAAACTACTTAGCTCTGGCATTTATTTCTCCCCTGCAATGGGAACTGTCTGCAAGTGCTCAAACCCTGGCTAGCCAGCTGGATCAAAAGAGGAAACAATATCTTGCTAAAATATGTTGGTCTTGGCAAGGATCTATTCAACACATCACCACAACAATAGATTTAAATAGAGACACAAAAAGCAAGCTTGCTAGTGCCAAAACAACCGGGAAAATAAAACCCATTTCCTATTCTCAATATGGCAAGTAATAAAAAATATCTGTTAACAATCAAATCAAGCTGACAAAACAATCTTAAAATGGCTTGGAATATAGCCAAAAAAGATCAGAACAGTTACAGAGAGACAATATGCACTGGACTGTGAAGCTCACGTCACATCATCACAGGGAGACATAAAAGCCAGCATGGTATGTATTACTGCTATCATCTATTTAAATATTTGGGAATATAATTAAAATATCAGATAAAGATGAACAGACATGATATAAGGCATTACAGTTCTGTCAAAGACGTGCATTTATCTCTTTGTTCACAGTTCTTCAGTCTGAACACTTTCTTCCTCACCTTCTCTTAATCAGAACTGCTTCTCGGTATTCACATGGCATCCAGCACAATGTAAACATCCTAAACACTAGCCACTATAATAACATATTACTCTGGTGAGTGGGAGAACATAAACAGGTGTAGTCTACAATTAAGATGCCTTAAAATATTGTAAAAGCATGGGTAATTCGAGGATGCCAGACAACTAAATAAAGCAATATCTTCACCTCCTTAAAAAAACAAAAACAAAAACAACCACCAAAATAAAATAAAATAAAATAGTAACCTCTTGGGCAGCCTTTTCAATGCACCTTCTTTCACAGCTGAGAAGTAGAAATCACTATTTTTTTAAATATATGTTTAGAATGCCATGTTTCTGAATACTTACAGTTCACCACTCAAGTCTAGTACCCACTGTAATACCACTAAGATGAGTAAACCCTTATTCATAATTTTAATAAATTTCATTCTAATATATGGTATGGTGCAAGATGTGTTTTTGTACCTGGGAATGCAGGTTTACCAAAGTATTCTAGTATTAATCCATGTTGACCAATATCAGACTATATAAGCTTCCCAGCTGAATATTAACCTGGTCCCCAAACTAAGAAAACATTCACATGTGAGAAAGTTGCCAGCTGATACACTTTTTTTTTTTTAGGATAGAAACAGAGAGCCACAAGCACCTGCATAGTTTAATAGGGGAAGAAGTACTTCGGTCACTAAAATACTATTATACGCTTGATTTGTCCACCAAAAAGCACAAGGTAATATTTATTTTTTTTCACTTTGGAGGTGCATTTTTTCACTTACACTGCACCATTCGGGGGGGGGGGGGGGGGGGAGGGGGGCCCCAAAAAAAAAGGGAAAAAAAAAAAAAAAAAACAAAAAACACCAAAACCCAGATTTGTGTACATTTTACAGAAACACAACACACCTTGAGTACTGGAAATGGGAGTTAGCAGGACTTTCAGGCTGACAGCATTACCAAAATGGTGAAAGAGATGATACAATAAAGCAATGTGGCATGCAAGAAACTGTGCAGTCCTGAGATGTTGCTTTGCTTCCTTAATCAATCAGGTGATAGTTTTCACAGTTGCTAATGATTTGTGAATATACAAGAATACGGAGTTAATACAGGCCTGTGAGGTCTCAACACACTCTGATAGTGTCATTAGTGAAAAAGGTGGGAATAAGGGATACCTCCTTCGTCAGATGGCCTTGTTATTTCACTGCAGTAAGAAAAGGTAGGGTTCGTGTCTGAGCCATCTGATTTATACTCTCCCAAACTGGTAGAATGTACATATTGCTTACTGTAACGGCTTGCTCTTTCTACAATGGTAGAAAGAAAGAATATCACAATAAATAGATAACAGAAGTGCAAAAGCAAACAACAACAACAATCCCAACACTGCTAACATTGATATCCGTACACTGATGGCATTAAAATTAAAGTGAATTGTTCACAATTCTGTATCCATTTTAAACACCGTGACTTCAAAACATTGCTTCAAAATCAGGTACAACTAATCTTGTTCTCTGCTTTAAAAGAAAAGCAGAAACAAAAGGTAGGATTGAGATTCTGGGTTAAAAAAAACCATAAGAACATGAAGCATATGAAAACTTCCAGTAGAAAATCAAAATGTTCTTTTATCCCAGCATGCATACAAGTGCATGTGGGAATACTACTTTATGGCATTCAGAAGAGTATTTAAAGTTCCACTATTAGTAGCAAAGAATATAAATGTGCAAAATGAAACATTCAAAATAAACGCTTTTAGGGGGGAAAAAATGCAGACACTTGTAGAGCCAAAACATTGGTGCCTGTTATTACATTACCTTGTCTCCTTTTCCATTTACCCTTAAATTATGAACGCCTTGGAGTTGCAAAGAATAGCACAAGGCATAAGATCATGTGCCATATTAGCAAAATGTGCATAGAAAAGAAACCAATTTCATAAATAGGCCACATTCTATATCTCTGAAATTTTGGTGAGGTCAAAATATTTGAAGATTCTACTTATAGTGAGGACAAAGTAGGTAATGCTTTTTAAGTGACTACTTGTAAGTGGTATGAATAACTTGTTTAGGATAAGATTTATTTCACTATTTCTTATCTGCACATGTGATTATAGCTGAAGTTCCTATAAAGCACTGCTTTTAATATACTACAGTTATTTTTATATATACGAAAACATAGTTACAAAACATATGGCTAGCACACTGACCAGAAAATTTCACGTATCAACTTAGTGTTATAAACATAAAAAGGTGAACTGGGGAAAAGACAGGATATAAGCAATACCAGAAAGCATATGCAGACTCCTAGACTGAATATTGTCCTCCAGAGGATCAATGTCGAAGATGGAGCCAGGATCTGTGCGCCAAACTTTAAGATCTTTTCCCAAAGCATAGAAATTGTGACAGACAAACAACAAAGGAAGGCATGAAAGGAATGAGTTTTAACAGTCAGCAACCAGCTTCCTTCACCTAGAAATTAACCCAAAAATCTAGATACTTACTTGAAAGGATCAGAAAGCATTAATTTCCTGCTTAAAAGAACTTAGAGCATTTATTTTAAGCATTGACAATATTTTCAGGAGACTTTTTCTCCCAATTTTTGTTTTCTTTTTCTAAATATGACCATAGTATTTTCTTAAATCTAAACAAATTGGAACAAGTATCACATATCAGAGCTCTTTTCCACTAGCAGAACCAAAATCATCAGTTACAAGATTATTGCCTCAGTCCACCAACAGCATCCTTTCTCCATAGAGATGTGGTAGTATACATCCCATAGATTGGATATTAGGAAAAATTTCTTCACCTTGTCAAGCATTGGAACAGGCTGCCCAGGGAATCCCTGGAGGTATTTAAAAAATGGGTAGATGTGGTGCTTAGGGACATGGTTAGTGGTGGACTTGACAGCGTTAGGTTAACATTTAGACTCAATGACCTTAAAGCCCTTTTCCAACCTCAACAATGCTATTATCTGCTATGCCTAAACACATAATAATCATTTAGTCTCTCCAAACCAGTTTAAAATAAAATCTTGATGTAAAGTACAATCAGTTAAAGCACAGATCTACACTTTCTGTTAGAGGTTTACTCCTTGGGCAGATCTGTCTGCAAGATTTACTCAATGCATTGGAAGTGGGGAAAATAACTGTCTTCCCAACTTGGTCCTTTCACTGGTTTGAGTGGCAAATAAATAATGGGTTGGTAGGTAAAGTAGGATTGTGGGGGCCCCAAACACATCATATTTCAAATGATTAATAGCCAAAAAGAACAGACAAAGCTAATAAAACAAATCCCATGGCTTTAGAATACATTCAGTGCATGTATATTATGTGTTATCTACTGCAACTCCCGTAAGGTGAGGCACAGCGCTAAGTCCCTCTTGACACAATGAATAAAAGTCAATGCAAAATCTTTTAATAAACTGTGTTTTAGTCCTGATAGTGATAAATTATGCAACTACATAAAGCACTGACAGGATTGAGGAGTGGGGGAACTGGTGAATGACCAACCTTTCCTGTTCAGTCATGCCTTAGTAAGTAAAAGCATAGTAAGTACAGCTTCATGGCAGCATCTGTGCAGCAATCATTGATTTGTATTTATTTTATCTATCTCTGTAGTCTGATATAACATTCAGAATCAGAATCTTGGCAATTTAAAATATCCTTATACTCACATGAGAATCACGAAGGCCATTTAGTTAAAGATCTAAAGCTCAGTTAGATTAATTTATCTTGGTGGGTTTAGAATGGCTTTAGCATGGTTAAAACTAGTACCTATTTTCCAAAGTAGAGGCATTCATTTTAGCAATCAGGCATTTTAATAAGTTGTTACAGCTTCACCAATAATACTTTAAAAAACAAAAAGATGGACTCTAACACAGAGGTACTTTTGCTAACTGGCTGAACAATTATTAGCTAGGAAAAAAACACAGTTGTTTTTTTCAGTCTGCAATATTTTCTAGCTGCCAAGGACATTCCGTGAGCAGGGAGCTCACTGCTTCTTTTTAAACAAGCAGATATTATAACTGAATTTCACTCTGAAAAAGTATTAGCTGAAATATCACTGTATGTTAAGCAGGTTTGTCATGGCCTCTTTTCTTTAAGTAGTTGTACTATTTTGCTGTTTGGCAGGCATGGGGAGTTAAGAGTTTCTGTGTGTTTTGATACTGGAGTATTTTAAGGTGATAAACAGAACTAATATTTCTGCTACTTACTGCTCAAGAATTATTTGTCTCATTGCTAATCTCTGTGCGCTAGCAAGCCTTCAGCTACTGAATACAGAATTGCACATAATCCTTACACAGTGCTACACCGCACATGCAGTGCAGTAGAGAGTAGGAGGTTTGAAATACACATCAAACAGCATATTGCAACCTGTGTATGAAACTGCAGTTTTACAGGAACTTTTATTTCTCTCTTTGGCTGCAGCACTCTAGGCATGAAAGTGAGTTCAAGTTCTTGGGTCTCTACATACGGTGATTTTCTGAACAAGTTGTTGACCCTCTGAGGCTTGCACAGTCTTAAAAGCATCAGTACCTTCCCCAGGCAGACCTCTCTGAACAGTTGCTTTTGAGAAATCCCTTCTGACATAAGGATGTAGCTATGGACATGTAAAAGGTGGCTATAAAAAAATGAAAGAAATACACTTCTTTATGTGGTGGAGACTCATTTGGAGACTTTAAGGAAAAGACTGGAGCAGCATCTGGCAGGAATGACATAGACATAGTTAACCCAGCTTTAGGCAGGAAGTTGGGCTATATGACCCACATATTAGTCCACTCGACCTGCTATTTCTTTGATTTTTGAAAGGTAGACTTCAAGTCAACCCCTGCTATTATTACTATGTATGAAGGATTTTAGAGGCCTATCTCAGCACGTTTTTCCATATGTAGACACTCTGAGGTCTACACTTGTAAAGCACAAAAAAAAACCACCCACAGAAAAAAGGACACACAAAAAGAAAAGAGGGGAGTGAGGAGGGGGAGAGTTCAGGAAAGGTCAGGTTACCATCTCCTTTGACATAGCAGACTTGCTAACTTTTAAGACATTTCAAATATCCATTTTGTTTTTGAGATAGTGTTTATTATGAATACCTCATGTGACATCTCAATGCAATACCCTGTCTCTACATACAAAACCAATCTGTATTCTACCCCTTGAACACTTGGTCCTATCTTGAACAATTTTTTAGCACACTATTTCTGAATAGTGATGTTTGGCTTACCAGAGATCTAATGAGTTGTTGATGAATTACAGCTTGACATATTTTGAAAGCTGTGTGAAATTCTAAAACAAGAGGTAAGTGGAGCATGTGCAGCTCTGGAGAAATTGCTGACTAACAGAAGGGGAAATCTCAAACTGGTTTGCAACATTTAAACATTGAAATCTTAGAGAATGACAGCTTCTGTCATCTCTCTTCTGTGCAAAATGAAGATTGTTGCAGATATTTTGGCCTTTCTTGAAGAGTCAAAATTCAAACTTGAAGTAATAGCAACAACTACCCATACTTAGAAATAAAAATTAGACCAAATGACAATTTATCTCCCATTCATTCCCATTATTACTTTGCTAGAAGCTGGCACAGAACCAGTAGTAAAACATAAGGGGGTTTTTTTCATGCTGTGAAGAGTGAAAATGAAATCTTCTTCCTGGTTATAATGGAGAACACAAGCAGAGGCTTTCAGCTTTCCCACATTGTTTTCAATGGCAACATTAGTTCACAACTTACCAACAATTATTCCAGGTCTTCTATCCATTTCAACAATATGTGGATGCACACCTTTATATGCTGCATCACTCACAATTTGGGTGTTTTTCCGCACACGCTCTGTTACAGGATCATCTACCACTGGCGTGAAGCCTCGACCCTTTGTCTTCTCAAAATCTTCATGATATTTTACCTAAGAAAATAAGAAGAGTTACAGTTTTCCCCAAGCTGCAATTGACAGCAAATGGTTATTCTATGCAGGAATGTTTGTTTCATGAGGCACTTATATTGTTTGGGTTTTGCACCATAACAGACTTATTACACACATGAAATAGGTCAGATGGCTGGCCAAATCTTTTCTATCTCACTAATTTTCCTGATATTTTAGTGTAAATTTTGCCTTTGTTTTCCACTGAATTAGGCATTAACTCAAGAAGCAAAGCATCATCTTACAGTCACACAGGACAGGAAAAGCCTGTGAGGTCATTTGGTCCATTCCCTTCTTCTCTAAAATAGGATAGTTCTCTACTGATGTAGACAACTACATCTGTCACTAAAAATGTTCCAGCAGTAATAGTTCTAAAGAACTTAAGTATTTTCATTCACTGAGAATTTTCATTATATGCACAGGTTCATGCAAAGGTACTCTTTCGCTCTTTATCGTATGCCAGATGTCTTTAAACATAGCTTTTTAGAAAGAATTGCAATTATTTTAAGCAGCTTGCCTTCAAAAAAGAAAAAAAAAAGGTAATTAAAACCAAGGACATTAGAATAGAAAGTGTTATGCAACAAAGTGTTGTAACAAAACCAATATTAGTAAGAGTTATTAAGGTAGTACCTCTCAGTATGCATATTTACTTTTTAAATAGTCTTAATCATCAAATCATTAAATTGACAAACATTCTCACACAAGCAAATGCACACAAAACAACTCATCCCAAGAACAAAAGTCACGCAGAAACCAGGAACGTGCACAGGCACAAGGTGAAGTGTGTCACCTAATCCAGTCAAACTGTGTGATGCTCAAATGAGGCATGTACTTTTTTAAGGAAAAAAAAATTCAAACAAACAAAAGATCAGACATTTAACTGTTAGAAAACTGTTTATTAGTATTTTGAAAATGTTCATTACAGTCATATGCAGTTAGCAAACACTCCATCAACAGGCATAAGAAGATAATATTCCTTCCATACTTGAGCACAGTTTCATTAGTTACCTATATTAATGGAAGGCAAAATCCAGTGGAAGTCAAGTGCCATTCCTTAGTATACTCTAGTTATAGGAAGAAAGTACCCTACCATTGAGATGTTGTTTTGTGTTTCTTTGACATGCCTTAGCTCAGGTGTGTCTAGAAGCACACTACATCTACCTTTCATCTGCCTCTGATCACTGCTGTACTTGACCTGCAAAACAGCAACAACAGCACACATGAAGTTTTTGATTACAGCAGGAAAGATGGTGAGAATCACACTACTGTGCAACAGTAAACCTTTTCAAATCATGATAGACAGTGTTATTCTTATTTCTTTCTTTACACTCTTTTTCTAGTAACTTATTTCAGAGGAAGGATACTGATGAGCTAGTGTATCAGAAAGGCCACAGGGCAAATTTATTCCATCACTTACTTGAAAACAGGGTTTACCTGAAAGCTGAAACTGTTGACTGTCTAAATGACATAAATGAAATAATTAATTTATGAACTGAAAAATAAGATAAATAATAAGAAAACACCACTGTGACTTGGACATCTTTAAAACATATTTGTATGGCTGATGATAAGCTACCTTCTTGCTGCCCAGACAGACCCAGATTCTGTCCTCAGTCTGCTCTCAGCACAAAAGCAACATGTCTGGTACAAATGTGAATATGCTGTTTCCAAAGAGAACATTTGGGCTCTCTTGTGCATCAGTAAGAACAGAACCTCCTACATCACATTTCTCCTAATTAGCTTCTTTTGTGGCATTTTACAGACTTGTAAAGATGCAAGGTTCATTATTTGTTAAAAAAAGGGGGGAGAGGGGCCAAAAAAACCCCTTACACTCAAAATCCTAAACCAGTAAAAGTAGTTGCTCCTACATGTTGGTTCTAGAGTGAATACTCTTACAGCTTCTTCTGGCTAGTTGAATTCTTCTGATGGACTCTCTTAATTCCTACACTGCATTTTAACCTGTGCATTGAGTGTTAGTAAATATTTTAGATCTACCTATATACTCATGGTCAGGGTATTACCTCACAAATCAGTTGTGCAAATCTATTTTAACATGCATCTGTGATGATAGAAAACAAGTACTGAAATTGTCTAACTCTCCTTAAAATTACATCATAGCTAAGCACAACATACCTAGGAAAATACGAGTCTTGGTGTCTATATTCCTTAGGCAAGTCTGAAGCAATGTACAGAGAAATAGAAATATACAGTACTGCATATTTATCGTGGTTTCAGCTGAACCCAGGACAATATTCTTCAAATCCTTCTTAGACACATTTTCTTAGCAAATATATTCAGCCACATATGCTTCTGAATATAAGGCATTTTCTGAACAGAGACAGCCGACATAGTTTGTTTTTCATTTAGTGCTCCTTAACGTAGAGGGGTATTTATCCCTGTAAATCTTGAGAAACGAAGTGAAAGAATCACTTGGGAAAAAATGAAAAGAAATCTTGATTTTCAGAAATAAAAAAAAAAAATATTTGAAGTCTAGAATTGTTGGGAAATTTTCCTCGTATTTTTAACTATGCACTTCAAAACTAATTGACTTCAGTAAATATGCATAAGCATTTTAAGACTACTTAAGATATGTAGTTACAAGGTCAGATTCTGTTCCTTTGTCCTTAGGCAAATCCTCTAACAAATTCAACCCACTTTATTTTTCACTCCTACACTCAGTTCTAAAGCGTTCACTACTACTAATCCTCTTCCGCCACCTTGAGACAGTGGCTTTACATGAAACCTGTTCTATTTACCATCTGCAGCCGCTTTGTCACTGATGTTTCAGTGTTGAGGACACAGACTGTAATGTAACCAGTCTGGTCCTTTTCTTCACCACGCTGGTTTGACTTTTTCCTTGGTCTTTGTGAGAACTGTCTGCTGCTTCTTACACCATTGTAGTGGCAATAAAAAAAAGGGGGCAGGGGGGTATGTTTTATCATAAAAGCCGAGGAAAATACATTATTTTACTCTTTACTGTTTAGTAATAGGCTCTATTTGGGAATAGTCAGCTCTAATACAGGTGCCAGATCTCAGAGTGGAATGGATGGCTATAAGCTTCCATGCTTCGCATCATTAAAAAAATGAAATTTGCACTAAATTCTCATTTCCTTTGTTCTTTACTGCAATTTATTCCTGCAATCTAGCAACTAAAACCTGGTAACAAGAGATGAAGATTCCTGAAAGATGGGCTGACCTCTGCTGAGTCTCTTCTTGAGAAATATTGGTGTAACACAACCACTTACTTTTTTTGCAAAAATAATCAGGCAACTCTGAGTATTTTTGTTGTCCATATGTGAAGTGCACATACTTAAAGGATTTTAAAAAAAGATTAATTCAATGGACGATTCACTTGACACATCAAATCTAAATGGAAAAGCATATCCTTGTTATATTCCTACAGCAACTGAAAATCTAAATGACAAAAAGATTGAAACAACTTGCCGAGCTGATATTGTCTTGATTCTTCTTGACTCTCTCTATCTCAGGAGTGACACTCACAGCAGTAGCTTTGCCAGGCTGCTCTCTGTAGTGAACCTATTATTTAGCAGAATAAAACAGTACATAGTATTTCAGCTAAAGCAGTATCACATTGTATTACATTAAAATGTCTGATTTAAAAGGTCATCCAGGAAACAGCTGAAAAGCTAAAATGCATTTGAAGTTTATTAAAGCTTATAAACTTGATTTTTGAAGCATAACCTTGAATACTTTCTGTATAATCTTCTTAATAATGCATTTGTGTGGATATATACACACATATGCACACAATATCTTGACATTTACCACGTTGGTCTTTGGCTGTATAGAGAAACATCTTATATTTGGAATAGGATAAGCCACAAATAATGCACTAAAGTCAAGCAGAGCACATGAAAAACTGAATTTCAGCAATGCCCACTGTAAAAGATACTTGTCGAGACACAGATTCCATAAGGATACCATTCATATTTTAACTTTTATACTCTATATATTCAAAGGTAAGTAAGCATAGTAGGTGCAATACATCAGATAACTGCCAGTTGAACCCAACTGCCTAAATTTCACCATGTGTTTATTTAAATGTACTGTAGGAATATCCCCTCTATTGCTTTTTAACAGAATAGCTTTGTAGCAATGACGTATTAACCAAATGCACACTCCAGGCAGGATCAGTATCTAAAGTGGATAAAGGACAGGATGTAGCATTGATAGACAACAGTCTAATGTTAACCCTGGCCCCAAATACTGAGAAATCAGTTATGGTAAATATTTAGTAAGTAGAGATTCTTGCATGATTTATGCCAATCCATATAATTTCATGTAAAATAAATGTTTCAATACAAACAATTTGGTTTTGTTTGGTTTGGGGTTTTTTTAATAAGCTCTTGGATAACTGTGCTAATACATTATGCTCATAAACCTGCTGTGCACTGCAGCATTAATGTACACATTGTTCAAGCAATTGTCTTCCCATATAACACATTCTGTGTCTGTCCACATCAACATACTGCCACTGCAACTGCAAAATTAACGTCTTATAAAAATGATGGTAAGCTATCAAATGGATTAAGCTTGTCAACTGACATTTGTAAAGGTAAAATGATTATTCAAGACTTATTGTTTCTAGAAACGTCTGAAGTTAAAGAATCTTTACCCAAAGCTATTCCAGTGACCTGAAAGAGAATTTAAACTTTCCCATGAGATATGCACAGCACAAAAATTGCTGAAAGTTAAACAATGATGTTAGTAGAACTACACTGGCTGGCTTGAATCATTTAAGAACACAGGGTTGTTTGAACAACAGGCATTTTAGGAGAGCTAGATTTATCAACATAAATCCAGGAATAAATAGCATACACTTAAGTTAGAGGGACAGTATTCTTGAAAATTATAACTCAAAATTAATTTGGGGAATGTGGCAGGAACATCCCAGGGAAACATTGTAGTTATTTGTAACCCCATGAAATAGGGCTGCTGATGGCAGTTCTCAATGAGGACAACAGCGGGTCTCTCAGACTTATTAACAGGGTACAACTTCAACAATGAAGGAAGGCAGCAGCCTGATCCAAAAGTCCTTGTCTTCTTCCCTGCACTCCTGCAAACAGTATGACTTCCTAATGCTTATGTCACCCATCAAATACTAAACTCTGACAGGAGGGTTACTGAGGAACCAGAAAGAGACAGGTAAGAGAGCTGGAGTTTGAGTACAGCTGTAGACACTTTTTTTACAAAGGAATGGCTTTTCACAATTACTTCCTAAAAGAGGGTTTTCAAGTCATTCCAGTACTGAGCCTGCACCTTACTAAAGAAAAGGAACAGCTTCTGAAGGCAGAACTCTGTACTCATCCTCTGCACCCAAAAATTATAAGGATTATAAGGATTAAACAAGAGCAACTTCCCATGCTGACATTCTCTTGATTCCTCTTGACTCTTTCCATCTCAGGAGTGACACTCACAGGTGTAGCTTTGCAGAGCTGTTCTTTGTACTGAACCTAGGAAACATGGAAGAAAGTATTACACAGAGACTTCCGAGTAATCAAAATACAACACTGTTTTAGACATCATTAAAGAGAACACTGCATTTGGATAGAAAATACCATTCCTTAATGAACACCTACATTTTTCTGCACAATACTTAGTACTCACCCTCCTGCAGTTCTATTTGAGACACAGACAATTGATACTTCAACAGAAATACTTCACTCTCATTGATGTTAATCCAAGTGCAAGGCTAAGGAGTTATCATTTTACCATTAACTGATTAAGTTAGTCTTTGTGGACAAGCACCACAGACCTATTCACTGAGGCACAAACAAATTTAATACAGCAGAGAGAAGTGTGTAAGCAACAAAAATGGGGCACACATTGCTAATATTCTTCTGGTTTTCTTTAACTCTCCTCAGTTCAGGTGGATCAGAAATAGTTGTTGCATGCCGAAGTTCTTCCTTGTATTTAATCTGCACAAAAATATTATAAATTATTAGCAATTTAAAGAAGATAATGACAAGCAATAAAACACAACAAACATTTTGTAATCTCTTCCTTACACACACTGCACAGCTGGTCCACAGCTATCAACAATATTGACCTGAAAACTAATGGTTATATTTAATTTCTGAAACAGGCTGCTAGGGTCTCCAATGTTGTTTGATATAATGAAGCAGAGAGTGCATATAACAAGCCTACTATCCTAAAACTCTTACAGAGCGAATATACACCACATGGGATTGTGGTTATCTTCATGATAATCGGGATACTGGTATACTACATCACTCTGACTATGACTTGGTCTTGCTATTATCTTGCTATGGAGTCTACCAGTCCGTTTCAGAAACCAGACACTTCACAGACGTATTCTTAAAGGGGTGAATAACTTCAAAGTCTTACTCAAGTTCTCTAAAAACACACATAGGTGTATCAGGGAAATGCAGATGGATGGATGGATGCCTTCAAAGATGCTGTCAGATTTTTTGCCACATTCAATCTCTTCTAAACAGCAGTATGTTTGGATATAGTAGACTATAATCTGAAAGATGCACAGAACTAGAATTTCTTCAATTATACACTATATGTACCAAAACTGGAATTCAACTTCATGAGAAAAAATTGTAAGGTTAGGTGGATGTGGCACTAAAGGGAAAGGCATCATATTTTCTGTTTCCCACATGCTATTCAGAAAGGTTGTCTTGGGCAAATCTGTCCATTGTCTTTGTCTTACTGTCTGTTACTAAATACCTGTCCAGTATTCAGCACATTCGGCTCCAAATCTCTTATGCCACAGTAAAATAAACAATACTTGTAGACCATGCCATGCTTTACAGTGATACAGCATGCTTTCTTTTTCTTTACAGTGGTAAATCACAAAATTCACAAAAACATTCAAAATTGTGTGGGCAGTGATGCATAATAGTTGGAAACATTTTTCATTAGCAAGACTCAAAGAAGGAAAAGTACGTTAAGGACAAGGGAATAGCATAATGAATCAATTTGTATGGTTCTATACTAATGTGGCACACAAAACTTCTGCTAAACACATTTTAAGGCTGTAAAATCAGGGACTCAAAAATTGGAAAAATGACACAATTAACTTATATGTAACCTTAACTTTGCCCCTTGTACAAATATGCACCATATACAGCTTTTAATATATTTTATACTTCTTCATTCTTTTCCTCTTTAAGTGCTTTATAAACTTCTTTATCTATTACCAAAAGCTGTTTTTCTCAAGAGAATTCTGGTTCATTCATTACACATAATCAATGACCCTTACTTAGTGAGTAGTTTGCATGCAGACTGTGACTTCTATTTTTTTTTGTTTAGCTGCTCTAAGGCCCTGCTTTGATGACAGAATTACTGATTTCTTCAGAAACTCTTCTTCTATGTTGTTCCTCACTAAAACATCTGAGTTTTTCACACACGTTAATTCACTAATTTTGCTGTGAAATGAGGAAAAGGGAATTGTGACAAGAAAAAGTACTATTTTTACTAGAAAGCACAGACAAGTAACAGCTAATGTGGCTACATAATTTTAAAAAACATAGGATTGCACAGCACCTGTATTCAACTGGGTATTCCCATTGAACTGTAGTTTGCAAAACAGAAAACCAGAGCAGGTCCACTTCCATGGCAAAATATAAAATCATATACTTTGGCAATGGATCATAAGGTCTAGACACAACAACTTGAATTCTCATTCTTGCTTTTGAGTATTGACTTAGTGACATTAATAATATCCTCTAAAATTACCTCTTGGGGAGGTAATTTCTCATGATTTAAAAAACTGCAAATGTACACTCCTTCATGTGCCTTCATCTTAAGCCTCTTGTGGTTTGCTTAGATTGACTGCACAAACCCATAGGAACAGTCATAGTTTGTTACCTCTGTGGATACAGGGGTGTTGGAACTATACGATCTTAAGGTCCTTTCCAAGCCTAACTAGTCTGTGATTCTGTAACTAAAGAAAGGGAAAATATTTAACCAAGAGTATCTCAGACAGACACTGACAGCAAGGGAGCGGTGAGTCTAAATGACCTTGGGATCTATTTCAGAGTTTCTGGAAGGAATCACCTACGCACAGGAGCACATCACCTCTGCCCATCATTCCCCGCATCTGGACTGTCCACTTCGACCAAGCCATTCTACACTCTCAGTTCATCACTCCTGGCCTCCTTTCTTCCCAGATTCACTGCACCAAATGTCACTTAGTAGATAATTTTCAACTCTCTTCTTCAAGACATGGTACTTCTGGAGAGTTCCAAATTTTTTCACACAGACAAAACAACTTGTTTTTCTCTAAGCTCACACTTGGAAGCTGCTTTAGCTGAAATTTATAAATAAATAAATAAAACCAAACCAATCCAAAGCACAAACCAGGAATGGAAAATTTCAGTCCAGACAGTTTAGGACTAGCAGAAGTACTAAACCACTGGAAAAAAAAAAAAAAAAAATGGTCTTTTAATAGAGACTATTAGGTAAGCTTAAGAATTGGCAGTGGCACTAGTCCTTAAAATGCTTCAAAATGCCCATTGCTTGAGTTTTAATCAGACCCCAGCTTTGTGGTGTTGACTGACATATCACAGGGGTTTCCTGATGGATTTCACGTATATAAAAACACTAGAATCTTCCCCCAACAGCTTTCTTCCTAGTGTTGTTTCTAGACCTGCCTGTCCCTCACTATAAACAAGTTTTTAAAAATTACTTAGTATTCATAGCTTCTCAGTTCAGATTTGGTTACAGTCCGTTGGTCTCATGTTTGCTTTTAATGTTCTGTGTGATCTTGACTCCAACTATTTAGAAGACTGCTTCTTCCAAATCAATCATCACAACAGGTGAGATGAGCTCAACCCCCTTGGCTGCCACCACCTTGTTTTTTAGGATTTGAAAACAGACTGTTCTGATCTTTGTCTCCTATACGGGTCACCTGGAAGAATCTCATCACTTTCAGAACATGACGCAAAGTCCTTTCTTGCATGGCCTGGTTGTACAGTGTGTGTTATTTTGGTTTGGTGTTCTGGGGATTTTTGCATTGCAGATGTGCTTCCTATTCTACAGTTACATTTAGTTCAACAAATAGTTTTAAACTTGTCCAAAGTCCTTCTGGCTAAATTCAAAGATAAATGTAAAATGTTTAAATCTCATGGAGTCAAAATTGGTGTAATTTACTCTTCCTTTGGGACTCCTGTAAATTACACAATATAATTTCCCTCTTACTGTACAATATGTTTTCCTTTTTACTGACATATAATTTAAAACTTTCTTGCATATTGCCTTTAAATTTGGCATGCCACACTTCTAATAAACATAAGACTTACGTAACTTCAAGTACACTATATGTAATAAAGTATCTTTTGTAAAATATTACCTCTACACACAGACTAGCAAGGTAAAGGGCATGCTACTTACATCATACCACTAAACCACTAATGCATTTTGTGTTTCTCTTTATATGCTTTTGTTCAAGTCTATTTACTCGCACATTGATCCACCTTTCATTCTCCCCTCTTCACTACTGTTTAGGATTTCTAAAATAGCAAGAGCACTATACACTATTTTTCCATTTCATTTTGAAAGGTATTGAGAAAAAGCATTAGAGTAAGACTACTCTAACAATCCTCTGTGTGTGTTTGTGTAACTGCTCTCAAAGTAAATGACTGCAGTAACTCTAAATCAAATAGGTAGCAGGAGATTAGGGTTTTGTTTCTAGAACGCCAGTAGAAAACTGGGGAGGAAAACTCAACAAGAACAAAACAACCAGGTAATTGCATGGGGTGGGAATAAGGGAGGGGGCACAAACAAACAAACAAACTAACAAACAAAAAAACTCAACATCAAAAAAGAAAAGAAACAAAGCAAAACAACTAAAAACAAAACAAAACCCACCCTCAAATCAAGAAAACCTACAGCTTCGAGCCAGAAACACTGTTTGAGGAATTAGAACACAAGACAGCTTGCACTGAATCTTCAAATTCCAGTGTTACTCAAAATGACAAGATGAAAATTGATGGACAGAGCAGAGAAGACTTTTTCCAAGTTTTATGGAAATTCCCTACCTGACCTTACTTTGGTGGGAAATGCAGTATTTAACATTACTCAGTAAACAAACAAGGAAATTCTAGTAGACTAGGTGTCCAGAGTCACTAATTTGGATTGCAACTAATATTTAAACAGAATCTAGTGTCATGCCTATGTGCTACTTTCAAAATTTATTTTTAAAAAAGCATCTAATAATCACAAAAAGACATGTCACAAACATAAAAGTGGCCTTAGAAAACCCCACACCAAAAATTCCAAAGTGACTAATGCGTCTGCAAGTGTTTTCTTGTTTGGCAGTCACTTTTCCAAGTTTTGACACATATTTCTCAGAAGATCATGTTCTACTTGTAGAAAACTCTCATTTTGATATTTTATTTTTAATTGCCCATCAAAGTGCCAAAGACATTGGGCATACAGAGATAAACAACAGCAATTCAGAACCAGTCTCATCAGATCCACAGATCAACTTGTCATCAGCACGGAAAGAGGCACCTTTTCACAGAGCTCAAGTCTGGACATAATTTCCCTCTTGTTGGAGTGCAAACTGTACCAACCCCTATGTGGTACAGGCAGACTCTAAGGAACTTTACAGATATTCTTTTTCGTGATATAATATTTTTCTAAATTGCTAATTACAACTGCTGTTCAGTCTGTCATACTGAGAAATATTGTCCATGTTTTCACTCTTGAAAGTCAAAAGCCTTTCCTCAAATATTTATCTAAAATTTTTTCCTATTTTTCGTGATTCTTCATTTGAAACTCCACCTTCAGACACAGAAGAACTACACTAGAGTGGAACGCTAAGTCTACTACACTGGAGCTCTATATCCGTAATATTACAGTGGAGTAATATTTGAATGAGGTATTGTATGAAAAGGTAGACTTTTTAGTAAACAAGATGGAAAGAATATTTGACCACCATTTACTCACAGAAGAATAATTAATGTTAATAACACTTACCGAACTAATATTCTTTTGATTTTTCTTCACTCTTTCAATCTCTGGAGTCTCTTTCACAGCTGTGCCAGCTCCTATTTCCTTCTTATAAAACACCTTCATTTCCCCAAAAGAAAAAGCAATTATGAGACTGTTAGCAATGCAAGTACAAGTTCTCACAAAAGGGCCGGGCAATTTTCCCAGTTCCAAATTGGTCTGACTATAAATCTGCTAAGAAAGCAAATACTTTAATTTTTTATAAATCAGACCAATAATCAATACGTACAATAATAATCTGTTTGTTTTCAACTCTAACCCAGGTAATCTATTATCATCTTTTAGACTGACCTCAAACATTTGTAAGTATTTGTAATGATAGTTTTAAGTTTGAAAGTAATATAAAAATTTAGATCATAATCTATAATCGTTTACAAATGTAACTTTATGCTTGAGTAATCTCATTCATTTTAATATAATTGAACATGCATGTACATGCAGGATTTGAATTGTTGTTTTAATCTTCAGATCTTAAAATACTCTGAGAAGTGAATAGATATTATTATTCCTAATTTAACAAACTAGAAAACTGCCATATTCATGACAAAATAACCACAACAGCCAGATCTATAATCCAAGTCATGCAATTTTTGACTTCTGGGTTCAAGCCAGAAAGCTGAGGACTGCATCTAAAAACAAGGCTCACTTCTGAAAAGATACACATGCTGTTTAGATCATTCTCCTCTATATTTCAATTGTTTCAGTAAAGGATAAAATACAAAACACATCAGTAGAATCAATCATTCAAAGTTACTGAAAGAGACAGTAAGTAACTGCTCCACAAATTCCAAATGTGGCTATAATTTAAATAACCATGGAGCACCAGTTCGTGCTGCAAAACTCCTAGAGAAATTTTATTTGAATTTCAGTATTTGGTGTCACAGCTGTTGCCACTCCAGTAAGTATTTCCAGGCTGGTAGCGTAAAAACAAGTCTGATCCTGGAGTTCATAAAATAAATCTTTACCGTTTAGTACTTCTGCCTTTCTGAAACCAAGATTTATTTGCTTTTTTTTTTCTCTTATCAATGAACCTTAAGCAATAAAACATCATTCTTGATGCATTTCTCCTACTTCCTTGAAGGTGTCTGTAACCTAAGGTGACTAGTATTGCCAAATATTCTAGAGGATAGTGAATTAGGTATGTCAGATATGTCCACAACTCATTCTTAAATATTCAGAAAACCTTTAACAATTTAGAATTTTGTTTTATCATGTGAGAACAGAGACAGTTTATGACTAAGAACTTGAAAATTCTTTTTCACCACCATGTCAGTACAAGGAAGAAAGATTTGCATAGTGAACTGAACTAAAATATACTTTTCTTCTTCACCAAGGAGGGAGTGGTAAAAAATGTTGGAGACAGTAATTTTTCTATGAAAGAAATGACTGTGGAGTAAATATCCTATTGTAAATCTTCTGTCAAATGAGCTAGTGAGCTGAGAGCAGCACTGATCTTATCTGCAGAGCTAGTCACTTTTTTTGTTCCTTAAGGCATGAAAACACTTCAGACAAAATCCAAAAATGCAAAGACTGTGAAGGGTCATCGACTTTTTTATATTGGGGCTGCTCCCAGCTATAACTTAACTTAGTAAGAAGTAGCTTACCTTTATAATCTAAATTGCACAGAATGCTGAAAGATTAAAACATAGAAAAAAAATGATAATTCAATTGCAGCTATAAATCGCTTTTCCACATTTGGAGGATGCAGCTCAAAAAAAAGGGTGATCATAAAATAAAGCAACTGCAAATCACCTCAAAGACAAAATTTTTTTTTCATATTGTCTAGTATACTAACAATGAGTGTAATTGTCATCCTTGGCACTGAAAGCTCAGACTGACTTACATGGCTGCAAGTTGTTCAGATGTGGCAAAGACTTATCAAGGCTTAATTAAGTAGTGGAAGGTTATTATATGCCCGGTGCCTGTTAGTGAGTCTGCACTGCCAGATGCACTGACCCATCTGAGGACTTCATCAAAAGCTATCAAAGACTAGAGCAGGGAGGAAAACAGATCAGCAGAGGCTAGCTTGGATCCCCTCTGTTACGCAGAGTTTCAGCATAGCATGTTAGGATGCCAGTGATATGAGATACAGTACTAATCCCCAACACACCGTACAGCAGAGCACCATTCAAAATCAAGAGGCAACAGATTATAAGAAACAAAAGTGGAGCCAGTGGGCCTCTCAACAGCTCCTATTAGAAAGATGTGGGTTTCAGCTACTCTCTTCTGAAGGAAGAAAAGGAGCAGGTAATAACTGGAAGACATTACAGGAGAGACCACTGCCTAGAGCAGCCTCAAAGACTTTTCTTCTCTCCCTGCAGGCTCTTATTTCCCTAGTGAAGCTGAAGTGACATGGGATAGCTGCAGGTAAACACCTCTGAGAAAAACTAATTGACCTACTCCAGCAGAGTTGGAGAAACTGAGAATACCTCTAAGTTAAAAAACATATGTGTCAGACAATGCAAAAGTATTTCAGTAACTTATATTCCTTTCTCTCAAATCATTTGCTTTATGAACATTACTTATTCTGCCGTAAAAACCAGACACTAACTGGACAGCCTTTGGTTCCAGAGGCTATATTTACTCCTCTTCTCTATTACAAGCAAAGCCAGAATTACAAGCAGCAGAATTAATGGGTCCAAAAAGGAAGTGGAACTGAATGCATCCCAAACTGGGCAATTTTAGAAAACCAAGCTCATAATTTATATTTAGGGATAAACTGAAATTAAATCTAGCATAAAATTAAAACAATATATCCAGTATAACGTAAAATCATTAGACATAAATATTTATGAAACTTGATCTGTTCCAATTTTATGTTCTGTACATATGATAGGAAACAGATGAAAAATCTTACATTCACAGTAACAAGCCTTACGATTTTTTTGTCCTTTTAAATAAAGTACTTCCTGGGGCCCGATGGAAAAAGAAATCTTCATTTAAAAATAACTGTGGCTTGGCAGGGTGGTATAAGTGGTTTAGCAATTCAAAATAACAGTGTCACACCTAGAAAAACTGGGTATTTTTTTACTGAAAGAAATGAGTGATACAGCTTTTGCCAGGAAAATTATACAGATGGTTCAAAGGACATTTACTCATAAGTTCCCTGTTTCATGCTGCAGCACAGGAGAGCCTATATAAACTGAAAAATATCTGAAAAGTTGCAAGCGAAGAAAGAAGCACTATTACTCACTGAACTGATGTTTTTCTGAGTACTTCTTATCCTCTCCATTTCTGGAGTGTCTGGAACAGCAGAATAGTTACACAGCATCTTCTCTGCTTCATCTTTGTACATTTTCTGAAAAACAATTTTAAAACATCTATTTCCTGCTTTCTTGGAAGCTTTCAGAATACCCAAACTGCAACAAAAGAGGCTTATAGCTGATGAGCCTCGACATCCTTGTACAGTATTTATTTCAGCCTCTCTCCTCCATGATACTGTTATCACTGTTTGTGTGGGACAGCTGACACTGTGTGCCACACTGATATATTCTCATGTGCATTATATATTTTCCCTTCACTGTCAGGATATATTTAATACATTATTTAGGTAATGTAAAAAGACCTACAAATAGGCGTAAACAAATTCAATTTACATGGTACAACAGGACTAAATACAAACAAGAATCAGGCATTAAGATGTTTTACTACATGTAAATCAATTTAATACAGGTATGAAAGCTTCTACAGAGCTAGAGAAGAGGTACTTTGAGCAATATCTGTCAAGCGCTCACTGGTTACACAGAATTAAAACATTCAGTCTTTGATCTATGCCTACCTGGCTTGCTATTTCTGAAGCCCTTTTGACCCGCTGTATTTCAGGAGTATATGGGCCAATTTGCATTCCTTTTCCTATAATTTCAGTCTCCAGATCCTTTTTATATTCTTTCTGAAGAAAAAAAGAAAGGAAAAAATCCCAACCATAACTAATTCTACAGTTATTTGTACATGCTGTCTTCAAAGCTATTTTGATAGCACTGTTCAGACTTTAAACAAATTCTTCAATTTCTTTAATTTAATGTTTTTATTGTGCATTGCTTATTCCTTTTAGCCCAGCTATGTTCAAGAGGATTTTATGGTTTTTAACATCTCGTTATGTTTTACTTTCAAAGAGGATCTTAAAGAGATTAATTTTGTACTCACCTGGCTTACTATTTCAGAAGCTTTTTTGGCTCGTTGTATATCAGGGGTATCGGTGCCCACTCCCATTCCCTTTCCTTTAATTTCATTCTCCAGGTCTTTCTTGTATTCTTTCTGAAAAGAATAGTATTGAAAATACATGTCAGGCAGCCATTGATTATGCAACTTTTAGACAGTAGGTAGCTCAATGGATTAGGTATTTGGTGAAAATTGTGTTATTGCTACTCCCTAGATTGGTCACCACTTGGTGACCAATTGTCACCACATTCTCTCAATGACAATAATTTGTTGCATTCTATCAAATGGAAAGCTTGAACCAGATATGGTACTGACCATGCTTGCAATTTCAGAAGCTTTCTTGGCTCGTCTTATCTCAGGAGTATCTGGACCAACATCCATTCCCTTCCCTTTAATTTCTGTTTCCAGGTCTTTCTTGTATTGTTTCTGTGAAGACAAAACTTCATACATTATATTCACAATAGCCAGAGTTACAGGTAGATTTTTGCACAAGAGATCCAATTTTAAGATTCAGAGTTAATCAAAAATCTTGAGTCTTAACTCTCAAGACTTTTAGCAATCTTTTGTCAGGAAAATACAACAAACTACAGGAGGAAAACTTCAGGAGATAGTCACTGAGTGTACAAAACTCTACCACTGAGTTTTTAATTAGCAAAGGGGGGAAAAGAGAGGAATAAGTACATACAGCTTGCTACAATTATCCTCTACAGTAAAAGGGAAGTTTAGCTCTGGAGAACATAGTGTAGTAAGCTGGAACTTAGTGCCAGCCTAATTGAAACACATTTTACTTTCAAGAAAATATTTTATTTATGAAAAGACTAGATGTTAGAAATTTAATACCATACTGAATTGTTTCCAGTGAACTTTCAGAGCAGGAAGTTGTAATTTATTCATTTAATAGGTCTTTCCTGAACTACAGCCATTAGGCAAGTGGCAGTACTCATCCATGATTGCTGCATTTTCCTCACAACATAAATTATAAATAACCAATAATCAGGAAACAAAATGAATATTTCATCTTCAGCTTATCCAAGCAAGGATATATTTCTTGTTCATCAGCAAACTATATTAAAATGTAATACAGAAATACTGTATACAATAGTTGTACTGTTTTTTGGGTTTTTTTTAAATAAAAAAATCAGTAGATTCTCAAGCAGTGCTTTTTCTGCTACGATAGTAGTAATCACTCTTTTTCTCTTCTACTTTACCTTTGCCTCTGGAAAACAAGGGTGTTTTTTTCCAAAGTAAATACATATAAGTAAGAAATTTCTTCTTGCTTTTCTTGCTGTTAATTATTTTTTAGGTTGTACATTAGTTAGAAAAAAGAAGTAAAACATCTTTCTTCTCAATGCAATGGTCTGGTCACTTACAAAAACAAGAGCAAGAAGACTTTCAGTCTTCCATTGCTGTCTCTGATGTGGAAATAAACACGGTAAAACAATTCTCTACCTCGCAAACCACATTTTTTTGCAAAAAGTATAAGTTAACCTGTGAGAAGACATCATCCATCACTTCCTCTCTGCTGAAGGTGGAATGGCAGATATTTCTTCCCAGCTGTTTTTGTAAAACAGCAAAGAAAAGATAATCCTGGGAGTTACAGCTATATATTCCCGCATTTATTTACAGTGATCAGATTGGCCCTATGCATGGCATTCCCTCAGGTTCTTATGGCTCAAGAAAATCAGTTTCTTCAGGAGCAATTCTACTTTTCACAAGTAGAATAATCTGTTTGGATAAAAGATTTTCCCAAGATGCCTGGCAATTATTACCAAAATTTAATTTTCAGATAGCAGGTACATGATTCCAAAAACCTCAAAATTATTTCACTGACTTTTCTTTACAAGTCCATTAACAGTCAACTCTTTTTCCATTACAGTTAATTACACTATCTAGTTAATTAACAAATAAATAGATGGAAACATTAACCTAGTTTTAAATGCTGTATCTACTGACCCCACTATTTCCATTGATATTTTAATTGCCTGAAAATCTGAAATATGTGGTTTGTTTTTTTTCCCCCCCACAACTTTTCTGTATTCTTAAAGCAAAACAGAAAGAGTCCTAGTATCAACACTTACTTATTTTATTGCAGATTATGTAAAAAAAAAAACAAAAAAAGAACATATAACTTAAAAAGAACATATAACTTAAAGAGTGAACCTTCTGTGACATCAATAAAGTTAACTAACATAACATACCTCATTTAGTATCTGAGCTGCATTTTTCACTCTAATCAAATCTGGTGTATCTTCAAACACTGTCATTCCTTTTCCTTTCATCCCTTCTTCCAAATCTTTTCTGTACTCTTTCTAAGAAAAAGAGAGATTTCTCCATTTACAGTTGTGCACAAGATCTTGAAAAGAAACGACACTTATTAAACGTCTGAAGGGTCTCTTTGAAATTTCTATGAAATATGAATTAGCTGAGGTACACTTTCCAGAGTTAAAATAGAATTGGAAATTATGAAATGTAAAGGTACAATGTTGAAAAAGTGAAAAGGTTTTAATGTCACCACGTATTTTCCTGTTGTGGTCTTGAAAAATAGTCTTCTCCTATACAGCACTAGCACATTGCTTAGGGGCCTCAGCTGCCTCTCTATGGACATTCTAACTGCAATAGCATTTGCTTTTACAGACTAATATATGCTGCATAATATATGCAGGTTTTACCTCTGCTCCACTAATGGTATCACAATTAGGATGGATACCCTGAACACTTCACTAAGACCTGTTAAAACCACTACTTGATAAACTGTAATATAGATGCAGAATTCTCAACAGTGGAAAAGCAACAGAGTAAGCTGGAACATAGCTTACACTAAAAAAAAAAAAAAAAAATATAATTTAACAAATAATTCACTTTTTAAGAACTCCAGGTTCACCTTCTTGTTTCATATAATACCTATCTAAGTTTGATTATGAAGCTTCACACAAAAATACTGAGCAACGTCTTTGACTATGAAGAAATATATCATTTTGCTGAATCTTGAAAGATAATAATTAAACCTATGTAATCTTTGGTTTTGTTTTTCCTTGAATGTGGATATAAAGTCATATGTAATTCATGAAGTTATAAATTAAAATACAACTTCCATTTTCTCATATTCTTCCCCTCTGGCTTACAAGCATAGTTTAATCTCTGAGTAAGTAGTCATAAAACTTGAGGAGCTAAGAATTAGTGAACATCTTCATGCATGTAGCACTATGAAGGCAAAATACATCAAAATTTTCAAAGATGAACATCTACAACTATGCTTGCACTAACCACTTCTGTGCACATTCAGCAGGCAGCAAGATTAACTCAATGACATGGAAGCATTTGCATTTTCCCTATTCAGTAGGCATACGAGTCATGTATGTTCAGAGCAGTACTGCACAAACTACACCTAGTTTGAGACTTGTCTACCTGGCAGCCAAGCTCATCAGAATAAATTATTTATTAGAAGTTAAATAATAAAGAAATATCTGAAAAGAAAATCTTTTCTTTACCCATATGAAATCTCGCATAGACTAGCATAAGTTGTTTAAAGAACAAGGAAAGGAACAAGGTTTAAGGGGTTTTAATTCTAGCATCCCCAATTCGTTCTTCAGCAAAAACATCAATTATTAATATGATACATATAAACAAGGTACTGTTGGCTCCCAAATTCAAATGAAGGATATCTAGCAGCCCTGGTATTTCTAACTATGAATTTTGCTGATACATTTACTTCTACATGCAGTCAAATAGTAAGCCTAATCTATAGAACCATCTAATACTTGAAATCTAACATGAAAACGGTTATGAATAATATAGAACTATGAAAGATAGAAGGATTCTCAATTATGGAAAAAAAGTGGTTCAATTTATAATGCCACATACAACTGAAGAACATTGTACAAATCTTAAAGAAATAGGCATTACAGAAAAACTGCATCTCCTAACAAAATTTCCTTAAAGCAAATTATGTAATAGCACAGCTATATTACGGAATTTTGGTCTCCTTTATTTTTACCTATAACATGTATGATAGATAATAATTTCAATTAAATTAATTAAAAGTGACTATACACAGCTCGAGGCATCTATATAACCACAATAGACTATCATAAACCTGAAATAATTACTCAAAAGGAAAGAATGCCATCTGGACACCAACAGAAATCCTCCTTTCCACCCCTTCACTTATCTGGAAAGAAAACTCTAGGACCTCTCCAAAACTCTATCAAACAGATGTCTTATGCAGCATGCCTGGAAGGTCACCAAATCTGGGCTATTTGAGCCCAAGGGAGGAACAAATTCCAAAACTGAGGCCCTCAGAGGGAACATCCTGCAAACACTGGATTTTCTATGGAGTCATCTGATTTGTTCATTTAACACTGTTTTTCTGGTTCAGGTGTACTAGGCTTTATCATTTTCTTATGTTCATAAGGAAATCCCAAGAAGTATTTATTTTTACTACAGGACTAATCAGAACATAAAATGACACACAGCAATTTTTACTCATGAAGTCACTTTTGTATTTAGCTACCAAGCTAACTGTGAGTTTTCAGCACTCAGTTGCTTGTAATAATGCCACTTCATTGCTCATTTGCAACTTAACAACAACAACAAAAGTAATAAAAATCCTCTACCTCTTTCAGAAAGTTAGTGACTTGCTTTATATGCAAGAACTCTGGGGTCTTGTCTAAATCCAATGAGGGTTTTCCCTTGATCCCTTCTTCAAAATCTTTGCGATACATTTTCTATTGAAGCAAAACCAACAATTAATGGTAAATATATGTGCATTTCCAAGCATATTTCAGAAAGAACACTCTAAGCAGACACAGAAATGAGCCACGCCACAAACGATCACATTAATAAGCAACTTTATTACTCATTTCATTACTTAGATTATCTATACAAGGCACACAATTTAGACAAAAATACATATGTATAACATTTCCAAAGAGAATATTTAACCTGATCTATGAAAGAAACACTTTGCTTCATAGAGAAAAGAGAAGACAAACGGCACAAAAAGTAATGTTTTAAACACAGAAAAGTTTCTACCAGGAGGATGAAATCATCTGTTTTTCATGAGACACAGCAAAAAGAATGGAATCAAACTGCAGCAACACAGACACAGGAAAATGCTCCTTCAGGATGGATGGTGAAGTGCTGGATTAGATTGCCTGGGAGGTCACAAAACCTCCATCATCTGAAGTTTTTATTAAAAAGTTAGAAAAAAATGGCCTGACATAGAACAGCCAGTCCTGTTCTGCAGCCTGGGCATGGTCCTACCCCCTTGCTGAGTTCCCTAGGGTGAACAGACAGGAGCACGTTTCAGCTAAGTCATGGGGTTAGCCTGGCCTTTCACTCGCTCCCATCTGAAAACTTGCCCTCATTAAAGGTAGAATTAAAGGCAAAAGGCAAAAAAAAAGTAATTTCTGATCTACATGACCTCTTGAGCTTCCTCTCAACTAAATTATGCTACTTATAATTTGTGTCTAGTGTTAGAACCAATGTGGCTTTTTGAGAAAAAACAAATTTGAAGAACTGAGCTTCAGAATAACAGAGAAAACTACTCAGTACTAATTCTACCATATCCTCAATTTACAAAACCTTTACCATCTGCTTCATCTGGTTTTCTTAACCTGAGTACAAGATGTCTGTTAGCTTCTCAGCTGATCTAAATTTTACCAGTTCCAGCACACATTTACTAACCTCACTTTGCATCTTTTGAGCTTCCTTTGAAACTTGATACATTGGTGTATCCACAAACTCCAGCATTGATCTGCCTTTAGATTTTTCATAATTTTCTTTGTACTTGACCTAGGAAAATGAAAATAAAGGCTGTTAACAGCTGAGAGAATGTGAGATCTGACTGTTTGCTGTGGTGGCAGACAGTCTTAGCCATACTCTTTAGAGGTTTTGAGTTGGAAGACTCCTCCCCAATTTAACCTGCCAGAGAAATAGGGAAACTAGACAAGGAAACTTTTTCTGGAGACAGTTATTCCTTTGCTTAAAAATGTCAGACCTAAAAACGGTAAACGTTGAAGACAGCAGGAGTGAGGAGCATCAATCACATTCTTTAAACTAATTGTATGACTTTGGCTGAATGACCTACATCTAGACAGTTGGCAGCTTTTTAATAGGATCTCCTGTCATGTTTCCATTAAACACCACATTTACTGTAACAACAACAAAATCTGTTTCACAGCCCCGGGCCACAGGTCTCTCTTTCAGGCTCAGGAGCACCACTCTGAAATGCACTTTTATTTGTACCTGTGAGGGAAAAGTGAATGAAACCCTTGATAGGGTGCAGTCTTGTACCAATATTCCCCTCACAGCTACCAATGACCATGACATTAAAGTTAGTAGCAAAATCCCATTGAAGAACACAGGGTTATTACACCCACATGCAATTTTATGCTAACTCACAAAGCAAATATGCTTCATTTGGAAACCTGGAGAAGACTTCTGAGCTCATTCATTCACACTCTTTGACTAAGACAGGCAAATCTCAAATCAATCAGTGCAGTGTATGACCAAATATTCTACACAAGCCATAAAGGAAAGCAAATATCTACAAATCAAAATGTGATGTTCAGAATGAATAATATCATTTTAATTTATTTGTCTCTACAAAAATAGTGATGTCTGTATTTGAGAACAGTGATAAGAATCTCTTTCACTGTCAGGCTTCTACACTAGGTTTGGGTCCTGGAAAAACAAGCTCCTCCCTCCTTATAGTGCTTCTGATTGAATATGCACTGTACACGACTGTAATCTGTCATGCAGGTTTGTGCCCAATTTAATCACCATTAGAATGCTGCATTTTTATCTTTACAACATGTATTTATCTTTGTGTTTACCTGTTTGAAGCACTGCAATTTCTTTGTGATGGATTTGCTTGGTTATATCCAGGGTGAAATCATAAAAGCCCTTGCTTTGCTTAAATGATTTCTTATATTCATACTGAAACAAAAACTATCCAAGAATGTTTTCACAAACAAAATCCAGAAGGTTTTGCAATTTAAATAACATTTTAAATAACTATGCGAGAAACAGCATAAAAGAAACTGTATTTTAGGCCTCAAGAGTTCTACTGCTAAATTTGAAATTCAAATACTGTGATGAAATGAAAAAAAAGGATATGATAAAAAAAAAAAAAAAACTCCTGTCAGTTCCTAGATAAAATGCTTGTCCTCCTCATCCAAAGCCAAATGTTTATCTTCCCTAGAAAATAAACATCATTATTTACATTTGAAGTGCAAAGGAATATATACGATGGTCTGGGTTTGCCTCCTTGTGGAAGTCATTCTAAATGTCGCACATCAAAATCATTTCTGCAGTGGAAGCAAACAAAAGTTATCTCCATCTACAGATCCTGATTTCATACTTTTACTCCATTCCCCAACTAATGGAATAAAATTAGGAAAAAACTAAAAATCTATAAAATCAAATGAGGTAAATCACATAGCCTTTTGCTACACTAAACCACAGGCACCAGATCCAGCCTCTTAAGTCCTACTTATGCACCCTGTTCCATAAAATGAAACACATCTAAGTTCCTTTCTTCTTTTTTATCTTGTAGTTCATAAGCATCTCGAAGTCTTTACAATAGGGACAGATTAAAATTGTGCAAAATAATCAACTAGCTGTTGTACACATACCAAAGTTTTAAATTTTGTGTCTCCATCATTCATGCCAATGAGAATTAATTACATGTATACCTGCTGTTGTTTAACCCCAACCGGCAACTAAGCACCACAAAGCCCCTCACTCACTCACTCCCTGTGGGACAGGGGAGAGAATAAGAAGCATAGAAGAAAACTTGCAGGTTGAGATAAGATGAGACAGAA